ATTGTATGCAGGGCCGGGGCAGGGGGTTGGGGAGAGGGAGGGGGTGCAGTGTACAGGAAGGGGTTCAGGGCAAGGGATTGGGGCAGAGGAGGGGTGCAGGGTGTTTGAAGGGGCTCAGGGAAGGGGATTGGAGTGCAGGAGGGGTGCAGGGTGCGGCAGGGGGTTGGGGTGCACAGGGGTGCAGGGTACAGCATGGGGCACAGGGCAGGGGGTTGGGGTGCAGGAGGTGTGCGGAATGTATGAGGGGGCTCAGGGCAGGGAGTTGGGGTGCAGGAGGGGTGTGAGGTGCAGGCAGGGGGCTTAGGGCAGGAAGTTGGGGGCGGGATGCAGGAGGGCTTCGGGCTCCGGGGTGGCAGCGGATCACAGATCAACTCAATGAGAAACCAAAACAAACTAATCAGAATAAGTATATTTCCTTTAACATAATTCCCCCTTCCTTTAAGGGGCCCAGGGAAGGAGCATTTGGAATAATAGTTCAAAGGCCCTTATCTCAGAACCCTGGTTCACAGCTCCCAAACTTAAAGTCCAAAACAAAGCCTCAAGCTAGTCTAGAACCTGAGGAAACACACAAACAACCCTGCACTATAACCTGCATGACTTTTATTCTCCACCTTGTTGCCTCTTCCTCTTTATATAGCCCAGCCCCAGGGCAGGGCCTCCTTGATTATACTCCAAGCTATCATTTTTTAAAGGATTAGTACACTATTTCACAGAGATAAGTACACATACTTCAGGAAATATGCAAATGTCTGAGAGGAGTGGAGAGGAAACTTTTCTTTGTAGGAGGTAATCCCATAATTTCCTTTTGCAAGGATTTCTTGCATCTTCCTCTGAAGCACCTGGGATCATCCAGTCACTGACTGAGCCCTGTAAATACCTATAAACTTGCCCAGCAACTAAATTTTTTCAGTAGAAGTTCCTCTGTGCCTATCCTTCTGCGCATATGCACTGCAGCCCCGTGCCTAAACCCCAGAGAGATGCATGAACCAGAGGCGTAAATGCGTGTTCCTCCACCTAACTCACCCGTAGGGCCCAATCCACTAAGGGCAATAAGAGCTCACCTACCAGTTTGGGCCCTTGTGGCTGGCCCAGGGGGCCCTCCCTTATAACTTTTAGCTCAGTGGTTAGGGTACTCACCTGGGATGTGGGAGAGCCCCAGTTTAAGTCTCCCCCCCACCTGTGTGGGAGAAGGGATTTGAACTGGGATCTGTCACCTCCCAGTGGTCCATCTAGTTCAGTGTCCTTCCACTAAATGTTTCATTTTGATCAAAAGTCTGAGAAGTTTATCTTTGAGAATTTGTGGCGGATGCGTGAGATCCAAGAGGACTGGAAAAGGGCAAATATAGTACCTATCAAGGTAAAGGGGAATAAGGCAACCCAGGGAATTATAGACCAGTCAGCTTAACTTTGGTACTGGGAAAGATAATGGAGCAAATATTCAAACAATCAATTTGCAAGCACCTAGAAGAACATAAAGTGATAAGTAAGAGTATAATGGGTTTGTCAAGAATCAATCTTGTCAAACCAACCTAATATCCTTCGCTGATAGGATAACAAGTCTTTTGGATTGGGGGATGGGGGGAAGCAGATGATGTGATATCTCTCTACTTTAGTAAGGCTTTTGATACAGTCTCACAGGGCCTTCTCATAAACATCTAGAAATGTAGTCTAGATGAACATACTGTAAGGTGGGTTCACAACTGTATGGAAAAGTATACTCAGAGAGTAGTTATCAATGGTTCAGTCAAGCTAGAAGGACATAGCCAGTGAGGTCCCACAGGGATCAGTCCTGGGTCTAGTTCTATTCATTATTGTCATAAATGATTTGGATAATGGCATAGAGAGCATATTTATAATATATGCAGACTATACCAAGCTGGGTGAGATTAGAAATGCTTTGGAGGGCAAGATGATCTTGACAAACTGAAGAAATGTCTGAAATAAATAGAATGAAATTCAATAAGGACAAATGCAAAATACTACAATTCGGAAGGAATAATCAACTGAACATATATAAAATGGGAAATGACTGCCTAGGAAAGAGTACTGTGGAAAAGGATCTGGGGGGTTATTTAGTTTATGATCCATTATAAGAGTCAACAGTGTAATACTGTTGCAAAAAAAGTGAACATCATTCTGGCATGTATTAGCAGGAGTGTTGTAAGTAAGACATGAGACGTAATTCTTCTGCTCTACTTGGCACTCATACAGACTCCGCTGGTGTATAGTGTCCCGTTCTGGGCACCTCACCTTGGGAAGGCTGTGAACAAATAAGAGACAGTCCAGAGGAGAACAACAAAAATAATGAAAGGTCTAGAAAACATGACTTATGAGGAACGATTGAAAAATAAAAGGGGGTTGTTTGGTCTGGACAAGAGAGGGCTGAGGGGGGAGCCATGGTAACAGTCAGCAGGTACATAAAGGCTGCTGTAACAAGACGAGGGATAGCCACCCACTCAGGGCAGGACAACGTGCTGTCAGGGTGGGTAAGCACTGGGACAAGCTGGAGGTGTTTAAGCACAGGTTAGACAAACACCTGCCAGGGATGGACTGGCTAATACTCACACCCCGCGGGACCAGGTGACCTAGGGGTCCCCAGCCAAGCGGGAGGAGGGACCGTGGCGGGGGCAGGCGGGGAGTGGGAACTGCCGCGTTCGCCCTAACCGGACTCAACCCCGGCAACCTGCCCCCGCACCTACCAGTGCCCGGCGAACTCCCGTCGCAGGCAGCGTCCACCCCCGGCAGAGGCTGAGCGCCGGCCGTCTGCGCCTGCGCGGCCGGTGATGGAGCGGCGTCTGTGGGGTGCTGCGGCGAGACGGGGGGAGGCTGCAGGCCAGGTCACGTGATTCGAGCCGAGCGCTGCGGACCATCCCCAGCCGGCAGACTCGGAGCCCGGCGCCTGCTCCGCTGCGCCCGCCCGCCCGCGCGCCCTGCCTGCCCGCGGGCACAGGCCGGTCAGCGCGAGGCGGAGTCTGCAGCGAGAGACCCAGCGGCGGCACACACTTAAATTACGTGCCCGGCGCGAGCAGCAGCAGCAGCCGCTCCGACACTGAGGCACCGCAGCGCAGCCCTAGACACCTCTGCTGCTGCTCGCCATGGGATCCGCCGCCGAGCAGCCGGGCAGGGCCACGGGCCTCGTGTCCAGCCTGCTGAACGACACCCTCGAGTTCTACCGCTGGAGCTGGAGCATCCGAGGTACCCGGCGCCGCTTGCACGCACCTGCGGTGCCCCAGCCTCCGCTGCGCCGCAGCCAGTGCCGTGCCCCGACTCTGCTTCTCCGCAGCTGCCGCTTCACCGCCCAGCCAGTGCAGTGCCCCAGCCTCTGCTTCCCCCTACCCCCGCCGGGCCCCAGCCTGTGCTCCTTCCTAGCCTCCGCCGTGCCCGTCTCTGCTCCCCTTAGCCCCCGCCGTGCCCCAGCCACTGCTTGCCACCCCATTCTCTGCCTTGCCCCAGCTCTCCACTCTTTGTTAGCTCTCCAGACCCTATTACTGTACATCCCCTATGGATCTCCTTCCCTGCCCTGATGGAACCTGCCTCTATCGAGCGCCTTCTGCTGTATTCTGTTCCCCTCATCTCCCCCAGCATTCCTGTCCCATTATCCCTCGCTCTCCAGTTAGTCTTCCTTTGCCAACCCCTGCTGACCCCCTCATCCCCTGTTATCACTATTTACTGCTTTCTTCTTGTCCCCTGCTACTCTCCACCTGCCCCAGCCATGCCTACTATCTCCAGCCTTTCTACCGCTCTTTTCTTCTTCCAGTCCACTCTGGAGAGAGGCTGTCCCTCCCCGTCTTCTCCCTTTACTCACTGTCACTGTCACACAGCGGTCAAAATGGCTCCATTCCTCTAGACACCATCTCTCTGTGCAGAGCACACAGGGACTCTCAGTCCATTAATAGTGCATTGAACAGTTCTGGTTTTAGCCAGTCAGTGGGGGTGAGGAAAAGAGCAAAGGTGCCCCCATCCCTGAAGGTAAATTATGAAATATTAGTCTCTTCTGCCTCAGTTTTCTCTATTGGGGTCCCTGTTCAGTTATAAATACTGAGCGCTTACTGGTGCATGAGCTTCTGTTCACCCTCTAACCCTAGGTTACTGAATGATATGTTATGGTTCAAGATAGTGGGAGTGTCTTATTGGAACATGAGACTTTTCACCCCTTAGCTCATCTTCATGATGATATTAAATGCTGTGTTATAGCCTGCATTCGGTAACAATCATATTATTGTATATTGCATATATAATCATACTCTGGGATTTGATTGCTAAGTGAACTTCTACTTCACTTCCTCCTTTCCCCAATTTACTTTCTTGATATTTGATAGTAGTGATAAACAAGGCCTATATATTCCATGGCATGATATACCTAAATTCACCAATTAGCATGTGATTTCTCTGGGAGACTGGAAATTATGCTGCAGCCGCATTTAAATTTTACAAATCAGGGTTGTTGTTTTTTTTTTTTTTGTCAAAATAGGGAACCAATTAGTATAATTAATACACAAGCTTTTCTATTTATTTTTAAACTAAAATCACTGTATTCCATTGTATAGTGTTCCCACATCTTCCTTGTGTTGCCTTTGTGTCTGTGTGTATTGATAACTCATAGCTACAATGTAGAAGTTGTGAAGGGGACAGCTGGAGGTTTTGGAACCTCGAGCAAGGTAGGAAACAGCTTGCAGTTTTGGGACAGGCCTGTTAGGTGGATGTTTCTGCTAAAATGATCAGCAGTGAAATAGTTAACAGTAATTGATGTTCAAATGGTCATCTTTAGGTTACAGAGTTATCCCAATGATATGACATGGGATAGGTTCACACTTGTCAGAGTTGCTTTTCCAGCCAGGCTTCAGGCTCAGGATGACAATAATGCATCTGTTTATTCTTAGTTTGTGATTTTTTTGGTTGTCTATAACAGGCAATGGATTCCACAGCTGTGCAATGACAATGTATGGAGCCTTGGTTACAGATCCTGGGAACTCACTACTTCATCAGCTGCCTTTCCCCTTCCTGCTCTGCAGCCCCCCACCCACAGCCATCTGTCAGATAATAAATTAAGCTTATGTTGTAGATACAGACAGCTTATTTCATGATCTGCCTTCCTACCTTAGCTTCTGGTTTTACCTTGACATATTTTAAATATTAAATTAATCCTATGCACTCATCTCTGCTATGGTTCAAATCTTCCAGAAGTCAGGATCACATGGAAAAGCTGCAGCAGAAATGCATTGCAGTCAGCCAGTGTGTGCTACACTGAATCGATTTGCATATACCCATGTAATACATGAAAGATACCCTCTTCTCCCTAATCAGTGCTATAGTCAGACTGAAAGAAAATTGTGGTAGGGGTCTCCTTACAGCCTTTTCAGGAGAAGGATTTTTTTAGTTTTCCTGCCTACTGCATGTGTGTTTTTAGTGGCTACTGTGGTACAGTAAAATAACCGTAGTGATCAAAAGACAGAGCTGGAAGAAAGAAAACTCAAGAAAAGGGCAATTACAAAAAACAGCAGCAAAAGAGATGGCTGTCTTCTATTAAAACTGCATATTACAGAAAATTTTCTAACTCTATGCAGTTTCTTTGTGCCATAGGCAATAATAGATGTCCTTTTGATGTTTCTAAAAGCATGCTGAGCTTCTTTCTAATTAGATCTTCAATAATTTTTCATTATTTGGTTAATTGCTGGTAATGAAGTAGTATTTTAATTTAGGATTTAAAAAAATTAAATGTCAGTTACATTGGAAAGGGGGAGAACGTTTCTTGTTATGACCATCAAGTTATTATTTTTGGAGGCTCCCTGCGAGGACAGTCTTGGAAGGGGCCTAAGCCATACCATAACCATTTTAGTATTTCTTATTTATATAGTGGCAATATGTGTTATTACTGCATTTGATTGTGCAGTAATATAAAAAATTTGCCTCATGTTGTTACATAGTCTGTGTGTGATGATTCAATTCGGAACAACTTTAGAATCATCACATGAAAATGCTATGTCATCAGATAAGACATGACAATGCCCCAAATTCAGTTTACGGATTTGTGGCAGTCTTGCTCAGTTCACTGCTATTCTGTATATGCTTTTACTTGGGGAAGGCGGCCATGGAGCATCTGGATGCCCCTCTTTCTAAACTAATCCATTTTAAAATCATGAATTTACCACCATCATGTCCTGAAGAACCATAGCAGTGATGTTGTTCAACAGCCAAGAAGAAGAAACTATGCCATGCAATCACATTTCATAGCACAGAGTGTGGGCAACATCACTACGTGGTATAATTTCATCAACTAGTGATACTATGAATCACTATTACTGAATAAACCGTATTGAAACTTCATTACAGGAACATTACACAATACACAAATGAAGAAATGGTATTCCCATTACAACCTGTTTATTCCAGCCTTCCCACATTACCTTGGTTTTCCCATCATTTGTAATCATGCATCCCAGCCTCTCGCCTCTTCTCATACAGTAGAACCTTAGAGTAACGAATTGACCAGTCAACCACATACCCCATTTGGAACTGGATGTATGCAATCAGGCAGCAGAGAGACAAAAATAAATAAATAGTACAATACTGTGTTAACTACTAAAAAAAAAAAAAGAGAAAGCAGCATTGTTCTCCTGCATAGTGAAGTTTCAAAACTGTATTAAATCAATGTTCAGTTGTAAACTTTTGAAGAACCATAATGTTTTGTTCAACTTCAGAGTTACAAATGTTTCAGAGTTATAAACAACCTCCATTCCTGAAGTGTTCGTAACTGAGGTTCTATTGTAATGCACAACCAGACCTTCCTGCCACTTTGCAATGTTGCCAGCCTTCTTTCCTTTTGCTGCCCCAAAAATCCAGGAATGGGACCAGGGATATCTTGGCTCACTTCTCAATTTTGGCATAGACTTCTTGTGCTACCTGTCATAAGATCACCAGGAAGAGAATAATATTGTGTTTTTTTAAAAATCAGTTTAATCTGTCCTGGGATTATAAACACTATTGTGATAATCCCAATTGTACTTTTTTCATGCTGTCACTATAGGGCAAAGTTGTTGTTTGTCCTTCAAATTCAAAAATGACCATGACATTACTGATTGGTTTGGTTTCTGTGAACAAGTGAGTGGCTGATCAGGCCAGTTTGAGCTTTGAACTTTCTGTGGCACACTGAACGAGAGATGCCACTATGAGTTACTTGATTAAGAGCGGACATGCTGCTGTTGTGACATTTACACTGCTGGCGCTTCTGCTATGCCTCAGTTCTCCTCTGGTCATAGACAGTAGCTCTGGTATGGATGAGACTTCGCCAAGTAGAACGATCACGAGCGAGATCTTCCCAAAACTCTGGGTCAGTGTTGAAATGCTTGAAGGATAACTTGAGGGAGTCTTTGAAACGTTTCTTCTAGCCTCCCGAGAGTGTTTTCCCTCCTTTACCTCACCATAAAAGATGATCTTTGGCAGTCGCTCATCTAACATTTTGGTGACATGGCCTGCCCATTTCACCTGTGATTTCATCAGAGTATGGATGGTTGGAATACCTGCCTATATGACAACCTCAGTATCTGGAAATTTGTCTTGCCATCTTATCCTCATCAGTTTCCTCAGACAGCCCATACGAAAGTGATTCAGCTTCGTAACATGGCGTCTGTATACTGTCCATTTTTGCGTGCGTGCATCAAAGTGCATGCAAACACAATAGCTTTGTAGACCTTCATAATTGTTTGTTGACTAATGCCTCTGCACTCCCACACATTTGCATGTAATCTGCCAAAGGTCATACTTGCTTTGGTTTCATCATCAATGAGAACTGCATGCGACTGTTTACTGCCAATGTAGGTAAACTTGTCCACTGCCTGGAGCGCTTGGCCATTCACTGTGATAGTAGGCTCTATGTAAGGCTTTCCTGGTGCAGGCTGGTATATCACTTGTGTCTTCTTGATGTTGATTGTGAAACCAAAATTGTCACAAGCTGAAGAGAAATAGACCACATTCCACCCCATGTCAGACTCCGATTTGTCATTCAGGGAACAGTCTCATCAGCAAACAGAAGATCGTGAACAGTCACTTCCTGTATCTTCGTCTTTGCCTGTAGTCTCCTCAGATTGAAAAACTTGCCATCAGTCTGGTATCTGATGCCAGTCCCAGTGTCACAGTCATGAAAGGCATCTGAAGCATGACAGAAGAGGCTTGGGCCAACATACAGCCCTGCTTTACTG